TTTATTTATTTAAATTGGAAGATATTCAGGAAGTAGAAAAGGATGATAGGATAAATGGAAAACAAGCAAAAGATAGTAAACCCATCACAAAATGAGAAAATAATAAATTAGAGAAAGAAGACCAGGTTTAAAAAGATGTTATGGAGAGGTCAGATGATTAATTAAAACTTAAAGGCAGAAAACTCTCAAGTAATGCTAGCTCACGGGCTGTTGTACTGAACAACTCTAAGAGTGGCATTCACACATAATATGGTGCCACAGCTTTGTCTTAGAAACTGCTCCAGAGGAGACAGAAGTTATCTTCTTTCTGTATTATGGGTGAAATTAAAATTGATAAAAATGAACTGATATAATCAGAATGGCCATATGATTATTTACAGCTCATGGTAACATTTTTAGCACTGACAAAAATAGGTAGGAAGGTTCTACTTTTAAGAGGGTGGTGAGAGCTGATATTCTACGATTTCTGATAATCTGAATTAGAAAAAAATAGGTAATTATAAAATAATATTGTTTCTTTATTTTCTAGAAGTATGTACTGTCAAATATAAATTAAGAGAACTCTCGAATTTGTAGATAAACTTAAACTAGAACTAAAGAGAACACTTAGAGAAAACATAATTTGTGAATATTTTTAGGTTTTCCATGTGAACTTTTTTTTTATATTGACCGTAGAGTGATGTTCCAATAGATTTACTTGATGTGGATAAAAACTCTGCTGTTGTTAGCTTTAGCAACTGTGATTCTGAGGTGAGTAAAAAGTATAAAGAATTCTTCACATGCTTTTATTTCTTTATGCCATTTGATTAAAGTCTATAAATGCTACTAGGGTTTGATGTTTCTTTTTCAATCATTTCTTATATAACCTTTCCCTTAAAATCTGCTTCTGCTCTCTTTCCCTGTCCTCAGATAATCCAGAAACCGGGGTGTCCTAGATTCCTTCTTTTCTCTGATCTGTTACAGGTTTATGTCCCTTATGTGAATGCTTGGGACCACAAGTGTTTCAGAGTCTAGATTTTTTTGGATTTTGGAGTATTTGCTTTATACTTACTGATTGAGCATCCCAGATTCAAAAATCTGAAATCTGCAATATTCCAATGAGCATTTTCTTTGAGAGTCATGTTGGTACATAGAAAGTTTCAGATTTTGGAGCAGTTGAGGTTTCAGATTTTTGAATTTCGGCTGCTTAACCTGTATATCCAATTAGTCACTAGTTGTTGTCAGTTCTACCTCGGTGGCTGTCATACCTCTACTTGGCTTCATTCCCACTTCTGTGAACTTAGTCCAGGCCCTCATCATGTCGTGTTTGAACTCCTTTCTCTATCAGTTTCGCTGCCTCCAGGCTATGCTGTGCATTGGCCACCTGAGAGGTCTTCCTAAAACAGAGCATTATGGTATCATTTCTTTCTCAAAACCTTGTAAATATCCCTTATTTCCTGGTGGATATAAGTCTAGATTCCTTATTGTGGCATAGAAAACTTTCCATGATTCAGCTCTTGATTAAAGTTCCAACTTCTTTGTCACCAGCTGCTACCTCCCCTCCCATGCACATTATTTCTGCCAAACTGAAGTTCTTAAAATTTCTTGAAAATGCTATACAGTTTCACACATCCTTGCATTTGAACATGATCTATTCCTTCCCCCGCTCTTCCTGGTCTGCCCCACTTTTTCTGGGCTTGTTCAATGTGTGCTTAACCTTCATTCAGCAGACATTTATTGAGCACTTACTATGTGCAAAGTACCTATGATGAGATCACGTCAGTGCTTTTGGACCTGCTTATTGTATCCCTTCCTTTCTGCTTAGTACTAGGAGACAAGCAGTCTCAGAGTTAGGTATGACTCCTGAAGAGAAGTTAGGGTAAAGATAAGGTCTGGATTAACTGCATTGGAGAAGGCAAGCCAGAGCAGGAGGAAATGGTGACTGGAGTTGCTGGGTAGTTAATTGTATGTTTTTAAAAAGGAGGAATAAAAGAATAAAGAAAGCGGTTGATAGTTATATGAGGGAATAATTTTCAATAAAATTTCATAGTAAGCATTTTCTTTTTAATAAGAGATTTTATAGCAGTTGTATGATGTTACCTATATATGGTTTGCCATCCTTGTTTGAGAAGAAGACAAAAGATTTGGACCTACATTTTTATGATCATTTAAAAAATCAAGTTAACATAAACTTAAAATCTTTGATTCCTAAGTTACTATGAAAGATTAACCTGTTTTACTTATATCACTGCAGGATTCTTTGAAATTAGTTATTTTATACTAATTTAAAACCTATTTTCTAGGATA